TTACCTAAAAAAGTTTAGAATTGCTACATCCAGACTGCGTTTATCATCACATAAACTGAGAATTGAAACAGGCCGATATGCGCCAAATAGAATAGACCGCAATCAAAGAGAAAAAGCTTACTTTGTGTAACAAAAACGATATAGAAGATGAATATCATTTTGTAATCATTTGCCCGTTTTACGATGAATTAAGAAAGACTTTTATAAAATCTTATTATTACAGACATCCAAGTGTGTACAAATTTGTAGAATTGATGCAATCTAGGATTTTAAAATAGTAAAGAATCTCGGTAAATTTTATGTATAAAGCTTTTTCTGTTAGAGCGAGTCAAATTGTTAAGTTTTCATATCATTTATACCATCTACTAGTAAATGTTATTTGCATATTGAACTTTACTAAATCTAGGTTGTGTATATTTTTTGTATTCATAAACTGAAATTGCAACCCAACCTCCTTCTCTATGTGATAAATATTATTTTTTACCGTGGCGTGCGTGTGTGTGTTGGTGTACGTGTGTGCGTGGGGCGTGTGTATGTGTGTGTGTTTTACTTTCTCCCACTATGTTATGCACTAATTTCAATGTTCCTATGTATGCCATTGTCATGTGATTGTAAATTTGTATCATATATTATTTGTTATAACGAAAAACTTGTAAAAGTTTAAGTTAATAAAGTATCTATCTATCTATCTATATTTTATTTAATTAAAAAATAATCGGTATTGTTTATTGAACAGCCTGTAAAACACTTATCAGTATGGTGTCATTTTAAGTTTACTTTAGATAATTCTTTAGAAAAAGGCAACATCGTTTAAACGTTGATAATTTATTTATTAAATGATATAATTGCTACAATTAATATGAGTATGAGTGTCAGTCGGATGAATGAATGAAAATATCTAACCTTAACATTCAAGAGTAGATTTAATTTTTTTTGTACAAAAAGATTTTTTATTTTATATATATTTTTGTTATAGTTAAATCAAAAGGCCACACTGAAAATAAGTATACTGCTTCTTACTGTGTAAACTTTGTATGTTACCTTCTATAAATGAAGATTTTATTATTATTATTATTATTTTCCTTTTCAATTAAACAGTAACTCGTCTTTTAGATAGTGCCTGCTAAAATATGGTACGATAGAAAATTATAACAGGGATCGAGTGTCTAGCAGAAAGGATTATACAGAACATGAAGTTACGATTAGAACAGAACGTTTGTAAATTGATCTCCCTAAAGCTTGTTAAACATTCAATGTTAACAAATTACAAAAAGAAATGTACATTGACAATTAAAGTCTAATAAAGGTTATGTTTATCAGTTGCAAATAAAAAATTTTATCAAGTTTTGTACTTATTTGATGTGCAAAGTGTCTTTACTTTGTATGTATATTTCATTGTAAAAATATTTTTGACCAAATTTTTAGCATACCCTTTTAAATTTTTGTCACTTTGGTAAGTCTTTGATAGGTCACGTGAAAATTTTAAATTAGTTTTTTTTTATACAGGGACATTCCCCCTTTTCCGTTCGGGGTTTTAACCCTAAGTACCATCAATAGACAAAAACATTATATCTTCAATAGTAGTTATGATGAAACATTTTCGAAAAGAAACTCTAATTAGTTGTGATGAAATCACTTCTGAAAAATAGCTACAAAAAACGCAATATTACGAAGTAATGTTAAAAAACTGATTATGTTTTCATATTGCATTACCGGGCGTTTCTGACCTGGTAGTGTTCCGTTGTAAACTATATTATTATTATATTATGTATCTGTCTTGTTTGTATTAATGATACTGATGTGCGTTATAGACTAATCCGAGGTATTTTTATACTTACTTAGCTTTGTTTTTTATTGTTGTAAATGAATGTGCTATTCTAAGTTTACTCTTATTTACATAAAGGAAAGCATGTTAGTACTGTGACGACATGTATCTTATATTGACTTGATTACCTCCCCTAATTTTTCTCTGTGATTGGAAAATAACCAACAAAAAAATGCAAAACAATAATCTTAATATACTTCTAAAAATCATCAAAAATATATATTCCAAGAAACAATTTACTGATACTTTTGCCAAACCTACAGTTAGAACAGCGAATATTACAAAGCACCTTTGTTTCTATGTTTTCAAACAATATTAAGATTCAAAGGTATATAGACCTTTATAGACCTTTTTAAATACGATTTTCCTTAGCAACGAATGTTGCATTTCGCGCATTAAAAGATGCGATTTCATGTCATGTCACCCAAAAAATATTAATTTTGGGATGACTTAAGGCTGTAAGTACTGAAAACGTGAATTTATTTTTTAACAGATCTACGAAAATGTGCGGGACTAATAATTCAATACACACATGTCGTTTGTTTAATGTATCATTAGACGACTTTTCCACCAGTAATTTAAATTGAAACAGCAGGGTGTTTAAGATAAAATGTTATTACCCCTGTATTACATAATATTACACAATTTGTATTGTACACTTCCTTTGAATAACTGGATTGGTCAGGCGGCAAGTGTCAAACAGATTGGAACGTGAACGGTTGATCATTCAACCGGGACCATGATATAGTTAATCAGTTACACTTATTAAAATGGTAATTTATGTAACTTAAATATACCGATCAATGTTTATGGATTTTGAGAAAAGAAAATTGTGTGACGTGCATTATTAAAAATGACATGTAATACGAAGAAGCGGATAAAATGTGTGTTATATCTCTTCCAAACAACCCATCTTAACTTCTCAAGATTTTGAAAAGTTATTAATTATTTAAAATCTATTTATGTGACTTAAATTTTTCTGTTTGCATCACAGGCAAATCAGATAAAGAATATAATCAGGTATATCGAACACTAAAAATGCATTATCACCTGTTCTGATATTTTTTTCAAAATGATAATTAATCTCGATTACATGTTATAAAATTTCTTTTGTTTTTATATGAACTATTTCAACAGCAAATAAGTTGACTTTTCATTTTCTAATAGATATATTTCCACATCTTCTTTAAAAATGATCTAAGTGTCAGGTCCGTGATCGTAAATTCTTAAACAAGTATCTTTTCCATGCTTTTATATGGCATTCTTCGCCACAAAGCTATCACGTCATCTTTTCTATATTTGTTAAAAGCTACTTTATGTAATTTTCTACCGTTTACCTTGAACTAACTCGGAATTGTCTATGAACTTCTACTATATTTCTATGTAGAGCGATGCATTTTTTTGCCCTACGCAGATTGCGCATGCGCGAGAAAATTCTAATTCCAGCCGATTTTTCATAGTAACGGACAGCGTCGTAAAAAGGTTTATAGCATTCTATATTTGAAAGTGATTTAAATTTAATAATTTGCTTTTCCCCTAGAGTTTATATGTGAAAACCCTATACAAAGCAGGTATGTCTCATACGATGAAGTCCGTGCAATGACTGATAAAATATTACACCATAGGAAATGGAGACATAAAAATCACATCGATATTTCGAGTAATGTTAAATTTCCATAATTAGCTTTCTATTTAATTGAACCTGTTATTGACATTTATAATTCAGTAATATTTCATTTATTGAACCATAATACCATGGAAACACGATCACGAAAACTTTCTGTCAATAACCGAGTATAAAATATTAAAACCGTGTTCGATGTGACATTTTATTTCACCAACTTCCACGTTATGGTATGTATGGTAATACAGAAATAATTTTTTAGAATATCAACATTGTACGTGTGAATATTTTTCCAACTTAATATGCTATTTTTTTCATAGAGTAGACATGATTTTGTTCTAAAATAACTTTACATTGCAGCTTGTATACTGATTTTCAAACCAGTCAATAGCCTTGAAACAGGACTAATATTTTTACACAAGGCCTAACTAAACTTTAGTTTCTATACTACATAGTATATTCGTGTATACATTATTCACTTTCACATTTTTCACAAGAATTTTAATATCCTACTTCACTTCAACTGACAAGAACAAATTTTAGTGAACAAGAATTAGAGACAGGAAAGACAGAAATGCCTGTTTTATTGCAAAGTCCTCTATAAAATCAAATATGTGACATCATTTACAAGAAAGCTCAATCTGTAGATGATGGTTTTTATGATAATTATGTCTCTTAGTTCATGTTCTTTCATCCAGACAAGGTAAAAATCCTCGCAAAATCCTACTGTGATATATTAACACTTAGAAATTAAGATTTTAATGCTGTTAGTAATTATTTTAAGTAATTGCAACAATTTTATTATCATGGACATTTTAAGATAATATTAAAAATATACAGATGAAAAATTTCCAGTGTTTGACATTGAATGCGATTGTAAGTATGCTATCACTTTTCATCAGTCACTCAAACAGATGTGTCCTTAATATTTTAATAGTTGTGTACATGTACGTGGTGTATAATCTTGTTGAACGATGGTTACGTTTAATCTTAATACTGGTTTTTATTATTTGTGTTGTTAAGTCTCTTAATACTTATAGAATGGCTATATACATGTACATGTATTGTACATGTATATATTGCCAATGTTGTGTACAGATGAGACTGGAATAAATAAATATATAAATAATTTTTGTTGTGTATAGATGAGACTGGAATAAATAAATATATAAATAATTTTTAAGTTAGATTTTAGATTTAGTGCATTACATTGTTTTATTTTTCTTAAAATTCATACAATATTTAAAATTGAATTATCTGACATGTGTAGATGCATAGATTTCGAGAACAAACATAACGGTGTCCATATAGCTGACAGGTGAACTGGCAAAACAATCAAAGCCCATAAAAAATTGACTATTATTTCAAGAAAATTTGTTAAAAACTACTTCATTTTTTTTCTAACAAAAATCACTTTGATACTTCTTTTGTTTGAAAAAGCCGGTTTGACTGCATGGCAAACAAGAGCTTTTGGAGGACATCAATGCTCTACTATTCGAAAGAGTTGTCACAAGGATGTTTCATCGAGTATAAAAACGGGCATAAGTATGTAAATAAGTAAATCGGAGTTATTGGACCTGTGCCAATCATGTTAAAAATCACAGTGAAAATGTATGATAAGTTTCATTCCATTCCCTTCAGTAGTTAGGGAGATACCAGCTTACAAGCAAAAAGTTTACCATGAGTTTTATTTCATTGACAGAACAGAACAGAACAAAAACTTAAATACTTCTTTTTTTAATAAAATCCTGATGTACAATATAACATATCTTATAAACAAATAGTTTACCAGAATTCATTAACAAGATTGAGCTCTGTTGAGGTGGGGCAATATATACCTGACGATAATTTACAAGAAGGTATCATATATAAAATGTGCCTCAAGAAAAGACATTATGACTTTTCTATCAAAAATTAAAACAGTCTAATTTTTTTGTCTAGGTAACAACCTAACCTAATGATAAGTAATTGTAGTTAATTGAACAATTTCATTAAATGAAATCAATTAAATCAAGGTTGCAAATTAACTGATTCCAGAAAAAATATAACCGGACACGTGTTTTGATATAAATATTTGCATGCCAAATCCAAACAAGTGTATTGAAATTATTTTACAAATCAGTAATTTCAGAGTTTTATAGGCAGAAAAAGTGCAACGACTCTACCAATAATTTTGATTGCAATGAAAATCGAACATAACTTTGTTTTGATAACATACATACCCGAACATAGAATCATTGAAATCCTTCCAAAGGTTTTTTTTGCTGCTGAAACCATTATTTAACTCACAAATTGCTTTAAAAAGAGCATAACTCTATAAATGCAGTGATAGATTGCAGCCAAAATCAAACTTGACCTGTTTTGATATAACATAATTGCATGCCAAATACATGTGTATAAACACAATCACCAAAATCCTTCAAAAGCTATTATGCAGAAACCAATTTCACTTAAAAAATTGCACAACTCTATTAACGAGTTGATTGCAGCCAAAAACATGTTTGATATAACATACTTAAATGCCAAATATAAACACAATCTCTGATATCCCTCATAAGTTAATTTGAGGAAACCAATATTTTCACTTCAGATTGTTTATAAGAAGGGGCATAACTCTATTAATGAGTTGACTGCAGGCAAAATCGAACATTACCTTATTCCAATAAAACATAATTACATGCCATATATAAACACTATTATTGAAATCCGTCAAAGATAGCATACCATAATACGTTCCGAAGGTCTTCAGGGGTAAAAAATAAAAACCAGTTTATACATATTATATGAAAGTTTTTGAGTTTCTTCCAGAGAAACTTAGAGTGTATATTCTAGCAAATATTTCTGTCAGGAAACCTTTGGTTTAAAGAAAGCCTGGATAGATTTCTGGTTCTTGTCTTCTTTCCCCTTCAACTTTGTCACTGAACTTTTCTGTAATTAATATTGTAGTGTAATAGAATTCAGTTTATGCAATTTAAGTATATTCAGTTTTTCAACATATAAGAATTACTTATTTTCTAGATCAAAGGCAATGCATAGCAAACTTTAATATTTCATTCACAACATTTTACTGCCAGATTTCTCTTGATACCCTCTTGAAATAATTAAATCCCCTCTTTTGTTCAATTTTATATGAATCAAAGCATCTAAATTATTCAAAAGGTTCAGGTAACCTTATAATAACTGAAATAATTTTTAGGATATTTATGATAATGTATTCTACTGTATGTTTGGTTTTATGGACCAACAACATAGTATAGGTCATATGGCACTGAAACACGAAATATGATTTTGGCTTACCTTGGATGCTACAAATTTCAAAGCAACACCAGGGGTCAAAACTACCTCACCTACTGGTGCTAAGAGATGCATAGACTCCAGTTATTCAATCCCATTAAGTTGGCTCTTACAATCATAGGGATAAATGGTGGCTGCAATTCTTATGCCTTAACCATTATAGGCAACCCCCCTTAGTCACAAGGAGCAAGATTCTTGCAAGTTTACTTTTTATATCATATAAAGAATCAACTGGTATAGTTAAACTTTTATAAATCAGTCAATTAATTCATGAGAATATACAAGGGGACTATTACCCAATTTATAAAACTACCACAATAGCTAAAACACATGTGTTATGTTAGTAAAACCAATTTCAATTATATTAGTTATATGATAATAACCCCACATAATTCTTGTTTGATTTATATAGCATAAATTTTAAAACTTAAGGCAGGATCAATCTTCAGCTAAGAAAACATTATATGTTTAAAAAATACTGGACATATTGACATACTACAATGTTTATTAACAACAGTATAAATCTACAAGTAGATGAAATATCACTTACTTTCTTGTTTTCATTTACAGCCCCTTCATATGCTTTAAAAACCTGAAATTAACATAATTTCAGATGTTAAATAATGTCTTGAAGCCCTTTAGGTAATATAGAATAAATACAGCAGTGTTGTGATACAGATGTAGAATCCTTACACCGAAATCAGCTCTTGATTGTTATAAAATTATGTTTGTCAGAAATTATTTTTCAATAAAATTTCTTGTTACAATGAAACAACTGTCAGTCATGATGCAGACTATAGTATGACCAGTTCTTGAAATAACACTGTTGATGATGCAGGTTCATTTCGCACACATATGGGATTATCTTTGCCAGAGTTATGACTCTAAGTCAGTGATGTATTATTCATTCCGCAGTTTTCCATTGAAAATAATGCTCCTTCAACATAATAATATTGTTCCCCCACATAAAGGCCACTGTGATCAAAGGCCACTTTTACACCCCCCCCCACCACACCCTTGGAGGCCTTTGTTGACAAGTTTGAATGTATTTGAAAGTTCATAAAAACATAATAAAACAACAAACCTTTTTCATAGCTGTAGAAATTGCAGCTTCCATAAACTGTTGCCTGGTAACCCATTTACATTTAGACTTGTCCTCTAGTGTGATGTTAGACTCATTCACAGTCAGACATTTTACCATGTATGTTTGATGAATGTGAGAAAATATATGAACAACCTGCAATATAACATTACATGTTTAACATTTTTTCTGACTACAAGACAGTAAAATCATCCCATTCACAGTACCATCATTTTGCAAACAATATGGGCATAACCCTCATCAAAAATGAAATAATTCATTATTATTATTATATTTTTGTTTCCATGTGAAACAATTTAACCTCATCTTCATTAGAAATGCATGTTGTGATCAATAATTAAAAGATAAAAAATAAACCAGAAGCAAAAACAAGATTTTATAGATGTATGCCCTTAAAATGACCTTAAATAAACAAATCATTCTGATCAAGGGCAGGTAACTTAAAAGTGGGATCAGTGACACCCAATTTTTTTTCGCTCAAACTATTTCTGTAAGATATTCAAACAACATGCTCTCCAGCATCACTTAATTCCTGTAATCAAGTCTGATTGCATACATCAGCTGTACAGATAGTGATTTTAAAGATTTACCTTTTTTTATCTAAAATGGGCTTATTTAAAGCTGCATAAATTTAACACCAGACTACTCTAACACTTATATCAATATCTCAATATCAATATCTCACCTCACCGCAGTTTTTGAATGTTTGCTGTCCTTTAACTATAACACCATTCTGTTGTAAGATATTGTCACAAGATGCCTCGGTTTCCCCTGCTTGTGTGGTATTACACTGTAAACTAGGAAACTCCCACAATCCTGCTAATAACCCTAAAGTGGAACATACATTGTGCACTTTATGTTTTATTGAATAAATTTTAACAACAGCCATCATTAGGGCAATGTGCACTTTGTTTCACTTAATAATATATAACAAGAGCTGTTAGTAGAAAGTCGGCTCAACTATTTTCAGTGCTTGAAAGTGCTGGAGAGGAAATAATGTAGAATTTCCCAAGTTCAAAAAGGGCCAGAACTCTGTCTAGTGGCCTTGGACAATTACCAGTTTTGGAGATACCAACTTACACGCAAAAACTTAACCTAGTGTGACTACGACACCACAGGGTGAGTAGAATAACTCTCTTTGTTCTCCAGCTTAAAATACTATACTACCTAAAATCAGAAAAATATTTCCCTGACATATAGATTTATAACATCAACAATGTCTGAGAGAACTACATGTATAACTATCAAAATAAATATTAGGCCAATCATCTCCTTGTATAAACAAGAGGGCCATGATGGCCCTAAATCGCTCACCTGACTTATCAAACTCATCCAAACAATTACCAAGACGGGCATTCTGACCAAATCTCATAACAGGTGAGTCAAAAATGTGACCACTACAGTGTTAACAAGGATTATCCATATTTGAGCAGTGCCACCTAGTTTTTTACCCAGGTGACACATATTCAAACTTGACCTAGAAATCATCAAAACAAACTTTCAGACCAATTTCCAGGATACTTGGATCAAAACAGTAGCAACTAGAGTGTTAACAAGATTTTTCTATTTTTAGCTCCGGTGACCTAGTTTCACCTAGACAAGCATCCTGACCAAGTTTGATGATAATTGAGTCGAAAATGTGACCACTAGAATGTTTTTCCATATTAGGGCGGTGTGACCTAGTTTTTCATCCAAGATGACCCATGTTTGATCTTGACTTAGAAATCATCAAAACAAACTTTCAGACCAATTAACAGAATATTTGGATCACAACAGTAGCCACTAGAGTGTTAACAAGATTTTTCTATTTTTAGCTCCTGTGACCTAGTTTTTCATCCGAGATGTCCCATGTTCGATTTATTCCCAGCAATGACCTAGACAAGTTTCCTGACCAAGTTTGATGACAATTGAGTTAAAATTGTGACCACTAGAGTGTTAACAAGGTTTTTCTATTTTTAGCTCCTGTGACCTAGTTTTTCATCCGAGATGACCCATGTTCCAACTCATCCGAGCTATCACCTAGACAAGCATCTTGATCAAGTTTGATGATGATTGATGCAAAAATGTGACCGCTAGAGTGTTAACAAGGTTTTTCTATTTTTAGCTCCGGTGACCTAGTTTTTCATCCGAGATGACCCATTTTCGATCTCATCCAAGCTTTCACCTAGACAAGCACCTTGACCAAGTTTGATGATGACTGATGCAAAAATGTGACCACTGGAGTGTTAACAAGGTTTTTCTATTTTTAGCTACGGTTACCTACTTTTTCATCCGAGATGACCCATGTTCGAACTCATCCGAGCTATCACCTAGACAAGCACCTTGACCAAGTTTGATGATGATTGATGCAAAAATGTGACCGCTAGAGTGTTAACAAGGTTTTTCTATTTTTAGCTCCAGTGACCTACATTTTCATCCGAGTTGACCCATGTTTGAACTCATCCGAGCTATCACCTAGACAAGCATCCTGACCAAGTTTGATGATGATTGATGCAAAAATGTGACCGCTAGAGTGTTAACAAGGTTTTTCTATTTTTAGCTCTGGTGACCTACTTTTTCATCCGAAATGACCCATGTTCGCACTCATCCGAGCTATCAACTAGATAAGCATCCTGACCAAGTTTGATGATGATTGATGCAAAAATGTGACCGCTAGAGTGTTAACAAGGTTTTTCTATTTTTAGCTCCGGTGACCTTCTTTTTCATCCGAGATGACCCATGTTCGAACTCATCCGAGCTATCACCTAGACAAACATCCTGACCAAGTTTGATGATGATTGAGGCAAAAATGTGACCTCTAGAGTGATAACAAGGTTTTTCTATTTTTAGCTCTTGTGACCTAGTTTCTCATCCGAGATGACCCATGTTCGAACTCATCCGAGCTATCAACTAGATAAGCATCCTGACCAAGTTTGATGATGATTGAGGCAAAAATGCGACCGCTAGAGTGTTAACAACTAAATGTGAATTGACGACGGTTGACGGACGGACGGATGACGGACAATCATCGATCCTAAAAAAAAAAATGCAATAATATGAATAGATTAAATACATACCTTTTTCAGGTCTTTGTGTTACAAGGTATTCATCTTCTGTGTTAGTATTTTTACAGGTGATACAAACTAGAGTAGACTCTTCCCTCGCAGCTTTCTTCTTGCCTTTCCGGGGATAATTCATAACACCAATACTAAAATACAATAAAACATCCAGGAATAGTTCATTACACCAATACTAAAATACAATAGTCCAGGGGATAGTTCATAACACCAATACTAAAATACAATAGTACAGGGGATAGTTCATAACACCAATACTAAAATACAATAGTACTGGGATAGTTCATAACACCAATACTGAAATACAATAGTCCAGGGGATAGTTCATAACACCAATACTAAAATACAATAGTACTGGGATAGTTCATAACACCAATCCTAAAATACAATAGTACAGGGGATATAGTACTGTCACTACAGGGGATATTTCATAACAGCAATACTAAAATACAATAGTACAGGGGATAGTTCATAACACCAATACTGAATTACAATAGTATAGGGGATTGTTCATAACACCAATACTTAATTACAATAAAATATCCGGAGATAGTTCATAACACCAAAACTAAAACACAGTAGTACAATAGTTCATAACAGCAATACTAAAATACAGTAAAATATCCAGGGATAGTTTAAAATTGACACCAATCCTAAAAGACAATAGTACAATCAAAACTCCCTACACAGCTGAAATTTCCGGTTAAGACAAGATTCCGGACTGCAGATAATGACTTGAATTTTTTCCCTTTCAGTGTGTGGAACCTGGAATGTCTGATATATTTTTCTATTTAAGACTTTAGTTTTTGGAAAAAAGTGGAAAAAAAACACAAAATGTTTCCATGCAAAAACAATACATTTAAACTGATTTTTCTTTTTCAAATTATCACTATCATTTTCAGTACATTATAAAGCATAAAAACCTAGACTTAATTTTTCACACCTTTCAAATGTAATAGTTCAACAAAATCATTGCAACAGAGCGAAATATTTAATTAGCTTCTTTAAAGACACTTTACTTATCGAGAAACAGACAAAAGCCCTCCTGTTCAAAAATGACAAAGCAGACAAAAGCCTTTTATACATATACATCATAACTTCAAATACAACTTTCGTTTATTTTTTTGATAAAGTACATGTATATGCATAGTTTAAGTTTTTTACATATAAAATCTACTCTATATGTAAATTGTCAAATATACAGTCAGATGAAGTCATCAGATCTGTGGTCGAGGGGTTAGAGTCGATGACTTCTAATCCAGTTACCTTTCTGGTGTGGGTTCGATCCCTGAGAAATGCTTTGGTAGTTTAGCACAGAGGAAGGAAGTCTTGTACTGGTGTAACTCTCCAGGTATATGGTTCTTCTTCTACCAGTCAAGCTGTTAACTTATATAACATTAACACACTGCTGGGGTGACTTAAAACCAGGTTAGTCCGTTTTCCTAATCTTTTAATATTTGTAGAATCAAGATGCAAGTAAAACAAATAGTCAGTTGTATTACAAACCATATAAAAATAAGGAAACAACACTTAGAAATGTTTTTTATCAAAGTCTATCAAAACTTTCTACAGATAAACAAGAGCCATCAGTGATCACATGTGTTGCCTACATGTTGTAGCTACTGTGTAGCAGGAGACACAAAGTCTTAAACAGGGCAAAAAACATTCCTTCAAAGTTTGGATGAAATTGCTCAAGTAGTTTTTAAGGACTAGTCCAGACAAGTTTTGTGACAGACAGACGATAGAGAGGTGATCCCTAAATGTTGCCACTACTTTGTAAAGGCGACACAAAAAGTTTCACATCTAGAACAGTTTATATGTGTATAAACTTGTCTATTTGTGATTTGCAATAAATTGACAAAAGTTATGTACACAACTTTACCTGGAATCATAAACTTCTGTAGCAGGTAAACAAAGTTGACAACCAGTTGTCACTGAAACATATAAAAATTGTTACTAAAAACATTAATGTAATATATAACAAATTATTTCAGAAAATACATAATGAAAACAATGTTTAAGGTACCTTTAAACTAAAATTAAACTTTGGCTTAATAAATGGAAGTTTAATGCATCTTTTACATTTTTCTCACTTTTTCCAAGGCTTTAGATTAATTTGAATTTTTGTGTGGGTTTTACGTTGCACCAACAGAGTATAGGTTATATGGCAACATTCAAGCTTTACTATTAGAGGACACCTCAGGTGTCCTTCAGTGCAATATTTCTGGCATGAACCAACACCTGAGTAGAACCACCTATGTTCCATAAGCTAGCTGGATAGCTTCCTCACAATAAAGAATCCAAAGTCCCTGTTGGGAGGCCCAAACCTAAAATACAAGAGCTTTAATAAGGTCAGAGCCAATCTACAACATTTAAACTAATGTAAATCAGTCATTTTTAACCATTTATCCAGACACAATGAATTTGCTGTTCCCTCATTAAACAAAATATGCAAGAATGGTGAACATGCATGAGAATATAACTTCATAATGATTGTTTTTTTTATTTTTCTGATTAACTGTACAAAACTTTTGTTTAATTTGTACAAATTTGTTTTATTTTGACTGTGTAGGAAACTATAAGCTTATTGAAGCACTCTCAAATTTCTTCCAACCAGTACTCAGCAATGAATGTTAAGTTTCTTGCTCATTGAAAACAATGGCTTGCCCCTGATGGGGTTTGGACCCACGCAACCAGCAATATTTCCCTTGTTAAGCACTGAGCCATGCTGTCACTCAAACCTTAGATTTGGCAAGTAGCTCATACTTACAACATTCTATGTCGGCTATTTCTGTTTCTGCTTTTCTTGTACCAAGTTTGTCTGCTGCTTCCAATTTATCTTTTTCAACCTAAATATTCCAAACAAATAATATCATCGTTAGTTACTAGCTAGTTTAAAAACAAACCCCTTTTACACAAGGTATCAAAGACAATTATATAAGAAATATTTATGAGATTCCGCATAGTATTGTCATAACAAACCATGAGACTATAGGGACTAGGTGCTAACTGCAGCATCTTCTTAAAGCCATTAACTCTGTTGGAATAACAAAACATGAAAACTGGAGTTGGCACAGAAGTGATGAATATCCCCACCATCTTTATGAAACATGCTGTAATGTAGGTCCATTTATATTTTTGAAGGTGAGTATTTGACTAAGTTTTGAGGAGTATAAAACTCATACAGTGGACATAGAATTGTCTGACATTTGACTTTGAGCCGGCACAGTCACAGCATGGGTCCTGCAAATCAACCAATGCATGATAACAACCAGTAGGAATATAACCAGCAATCTAGGAATATAACCCATACAGGAATACAACAAATACAGGAATACAACAACAAATACAGGGTATAATCAGAAATACGGGAATACAATTAGCAATACAGGAATACAACCAGCAATTAACGAATATAACCCATACAGGAAATATACAACTAATATAGGAATACAACAACTAATATAGGAATATAACCAACATTACAGGAATACAACCAGCAATAAAAGAAAGTACAGCAATACAACAACAAGAGGGCCATGATGGCCCTGAGGTCGCTCACCTGTATATAGCCCCCCCCCCCCCACCCCCGCCCAATTTTCACCCAAGGGCTTTTATTTGTTTATTTGAACAGACTTTGGTAGACACCCATAAGAAGATGTTTCATGCAGAACATCTAAGTTCTAGCTCATTGGGTTTTTTAAAAGAAGATTTTTTAAGTTTTTACTATACACATATAGTTAAAAACAATGACACCCATCGGGCAGGGCCAGTTTTGACCCCTGGGCTTTTATTTGAACAAACTTTGTAGATATTAACTTAAAGATGTTTCATGCTTAATATCTAAACTCTATTTATTTGGGTTTTTTCAAAGAAGATTTTTAAGTTTTTGCTATGTATATAAGGAAAATCAATGACCCCTGGGGCGGGGCCAGTTTTGACCTCAGGGCTTTTATTTGAACATACTTGGTAGACACCCATTAGAACATGTCTCATGCTAAATATCTTAGCTCTAGCTCTTTGGGTTCTTTAAAAGAAGATTTTTTAAGTTTTTACTTTATGCATATAAGGAAAATCAATGACCCCCTGGGGCGGGGCCAATTTTGACCCCAGGGCTTTTATTTGAACAAACTTGGTAGACATTCACTAGAAGATGTTTCATGCCAAATATCTAAGCTCTAGCTCTTACGATTCTTTAAAAGAAGATTTTTTAAGTTTTTACTATATGCATATAGGGAAAATCAATGACCCCCGGGGCGGGGCCAATTTTGACCCCAGGGCTTTTATTTGAACAAACTTGGTAGACATTCACTAGAAGATGTTTCATGCCAAATATCTTAGCTCTAGCTCTTTGGGTTGTTTAAAAGAAGATTTTTTAAGTTTTTACTTTATGCATATAGGGAAAATCAATGACCCCCTGGGGCGGGGCCAATTTGGACCCCAGGGCTTTTATTTGAACAAACTTGGTAGACATTCTCTAGAAGATGTTTCATGCCAAATATCTAAGCTCTAGCTCTTACAGTTCTTTAAAAGAAGATTTTTTAAGTTTTTACTATATATGCATATAGGGAAAATCAATGACCCCCTGGGGCGGGGCCAATTTTGACCCCAGGGCTTTTATTTGAACAAACTTGGTAGACATTTACTAGAAGATGTTTTATGCCAAATATCTAAGCTCTAGCTCTTACGGTTCTTTAAAAGAAGATTTTTTAAGTTTTTACTATATGCATATAGGGAAAAATCAATGACCCCCCGGGGCGGGGCCAATTTTGACCCAGGGCTTTTATTTGAACAAACTTGGTAGACACTCACTAGAAGATGTTCCATGCCAAATATCTTAGCTCTAGCTCTTACAGTTCTTTAAAAGAAGATTTTTTAAGTTTTTACTATATGCATATAGGGAAAATCAATGACCCCCTGGGGCGGGGCCAATTTTGACCCCAGGGCTTTTATTTGAACAAACTTGGTAGACACTCATTAGAAGATGTTTCATGCCAAATATCTAAGCTCTAGCTCTTAGGGTTGTTTAAAAGAAGATATTTAAAGATTTTTCTTTCGGTTGCCATGGCAACCAGAGTTCTGCATGGAATTAAATTCTTTGAACAATTTTTAAAGGTGACCACCAAAGGAACATTCCTGTGAAGTTTGGATGAAATTGGCTCAGTGGTTTATGAGGAGATGTCATTTAAAGCAAAAGTTTACGGACGGACGACGGACGGACGGACGGACGCCGGAAGAAAAGCGATCACAAAAGCTCACCCTGTCACTTTGTGACAGGTGAGCTAAAAATACAGATGTACAACTAATACAGGAATAAAACTTATACAAGAACACAACCAAGTATTATAACCTTCACCTGCTTAAATGCCCTGCAATTATTTTTCAGTGGACAGGTGGAGCATTCTGGTGATTTTGGTGTGCATACTGTTGCTCCAAGCTCCATCAAACCTTGATTAAAATCTCCTGGTTTATCTGGATCAACAACACTGTTTGCCAATGACCTATAATTAAACAAAGGACAAAAATCAATTGGATTATAACACATACAATACATGTATATACATTAATTGATATTAATGATATTAATACCAAATTGAGATCAAAGCATTCTAGAAATCATCTAACCTTGAGGTAGAAATATATGGAGAGAAAAAATTGGGTCATTGAAAAACATATATATATAGAAATCTTCCAATTCAAGGGGCTATTCTATAAATATCTATACATGTATCAAAATTCTTTATAAAAGAACAAACTTAGCTATTTGTATGTACACTGGCATTTTTAACTCTATCCATGACATGCAGTAAATGAAATTGAAATCATCAATCACAGCAAAGTACAGCTTTTCTAAAAATAACTGATACCCAATTAAGAAATGCTTTAATTGGAAAATAAAACTACATTACAAAAGAGTGCCAAACATACTATAAATCATTATAATCTGGCATTTAATGGCTGCATGGCCTAGTGGCTAACATGTCAGACTAGTAATCTAAGGATTGCTGACTGTGTGGGTTCAAACCCTGTCAGGGCTAAGCCCTTGTTTCCTTAAGCAAGAAACTTTAAACTTTGCTTAGAACTGGTTGGTTCTGGGAACAGATTCGAGAGTGCTTCAATATGCTTACAGCTTCCAACACAATCAAACTAAAATAAATTTGTAAAAACTAAATTACCAATGCTAAGTCTCAACAATCTCCTAAAACATCATTACTAATATACCTTAGATTTTAGTGTAAATGTAAGATGTTTGTACAAGTTGTGAGAATATATCATGTCTCACCATAACGTATCCGTGACAACTTGATTGTTACTTTCAGCACCTATCATTCGTAGTCTACATAAAACACGAATTACATTACCATCCACCAGACCTGTTGCCTGAAATAATTGTTGAGAAATTTATATGTTAAGCAATGTTATATATATATAATACCCAATTATTTCAATTACAGAAAAAAATGGTTATCAGTGTCATTTTGGAGCATATTGTACATCATTTATATATAATATGGTTATCCGATGATTTTAAAAATTTTACCCCAAACTCAAGAATAATTGACTTTCACTTAACTTTCTCTGGTAATCTACCCAATTCTTCATATTGTTTTTTATTTCATGCTTTCCAGTGTTTTACTGTAATATATCAGATGATTATATTCTGATAAACCACTAGTGAAATTTATAAAATATAATTTTCACTGCAGCCGGACTATATCTAAATGCGGATGAAAAGAAAATCATAACTAAATGGAATAAAAGGCAGAAATAGATGCTGCATTACGTAAATTTTGCTTCTTCAGGAAAAGAAAGTCATGTCATCGTACATCATGTTAAAAATGTAATAAAATTAGAGAAAGTTTAACAGAACTATATTTCAAAATTAATGATGTTACGTCATGATGTGATGACGTCACAAAAGAGAGATGCACGTCATTACGCGGCAAAATTAGTAAAAAATACTTAAAATCACTTAAAAAGCATGAAATAAAAAGAAAATTTATTTGTTTTGCATGTAAGATTGAAATATATTTCATTGGTGAACACTAGATATTCTATTTTCACTCGTGGCTACGCCACTCATAAAAATATTGCATCTGGTGTTCATTCTGTGAAATTATATTTCAATCTTACATGCAAACAAACAAATATCCTCTATATTCCTTATATTTTTCTACACTTTAGTATGAATTTTGTACAGTTTTAAACCAGATCTAATTGTACTAGATTGTTACTTTGTAGATTTAATTATACCAGATTATAGTTTCATATATTACCTGATTGTAAGCTATAGAAGCAATAGCTCCAGCTGTATATCTACCAACACCTGGTAAATGTTTCAACAAACCATCTGCATCTTTCGGCATTTCACCATCAAACTCATCAACAACCTAAAAATAAACAGTTTCTTATGTTTGTATCTTTTAAAATATTTTATTGTTTGAGTTTTACGCTGCACCAACACATGGTGACTTTCCAGCCTTGCTGGTTGAGGAAGACCTCAGGTGCCACTGGCCCTCTGTACATTATTTCCAGTAAAGACGGGCGCCTCAGTAGAACCTTCAATGTTTTGTAAGCTAGCTGGATAGCTTTCTCATATGTAGAATCTGACGATGATTCAAACCTACATAAGTGAGAGGCAAGTGGTTTGAAATCATCAAGCTTTAACCACTTTGCAACAGACGCCCCTTACAATCCAGCACAAATTTCTGGTGTTTTCTTGACTTCTTGCATCCTTCATTTAATACTTATTTTTCATTATGCACACAAAAATTTTCAAATTCCTGTCAGAATAATTAAAAACATCCAATGATGTAGGTAGACAAATATTGTAACTAGCTGACTTTGTCAAATAATGACTCCCTACTTTCAGTTGGTGTCCTCTTGTCTATATGCAAGTACCAATATAAACCACTTACTTCCCTTTCATGACATTGAAAATTCAATGTTGTCAGCACATTTTAAACCAATAGAACTGATGAATTCTGTCATGGAACATAGCCTAAGAGACCCATAGCATAATTAAGTCTGTGATAATTTTATTCAGTCTACTTGTAAGTACATTTTCACATTCAAACAATAATGCCAAAATATTACAATAAATCTATTATATGCAACAATAACACTTATACTTGACTGTCCGAAAAACAGGTTTTGTTTTCCAGTCCACCGCCCAAAATATCTCACCTTTTTAGCTCCTTCAAGTAAACGTCTACCCCTAGAATAATAACCTAGTCCTGACCACATCTCATTCACTTCCTGAAACATATCAATCCATAACCTCCTAAAACAAGAGCTGGTTGAACCGGGTGATGCTCCCCGAATAGGTTTTGGACACAGGAAGGTTTACCTCTTGTTGTGTCAGAGTTATGCCACAGACAAAGTTCAAAGTGTAAAAACAACCAAAATATTGTGCACAACACATTGTCTCAATATGGTGATCATTTTTGTGAAATAGTTGTAAAATCCGACTTTAAATAACGAAGTGCTGCATGATTTTGCTGCAAGGTCATGCTGTGACCTTGACCTTCAAGGTAGGGACCCAAATGTTGCATGCCGCACGTCCATTCAATATGGTGATCATCTCTGTGAAATAGTTGTTAAACCCGACTTCCAGTTACAAAGTAATGGGCCGGACAAGATTTTGCTGCAAGGTCATGCCGTGACCTTGACCTTCAAGGTAGCGACCCAAATGTTGCGCGCGACACAATGTCTCATTGTGGTGATCATTTCTGTGAAATAGTTGTAAAATCAGACTTCAAATAATGAAGTTATGGACCGGACACGATTTTGCTGCAAGGTCATGCTGTGACCTTGACCTTGCAAGGTCATGCTGTGACCTTGACCTTCAAGGTAGCGACCCAAATGTTGCGCGCAACACGCCATTTTAATATGGTGATCATTTCTGTGAAATAGTTTAAAAATCTGACTTCAAATAAGTTATGGGCCGTACACGATTTTGCTGCAAGGTCATGCTGTGACCTTCAAGGCAGCGACCCAAATGTTGTGCCCGACCATCATCTTAATATGATGATCATTTCTGTGAAATACTTTTTGAATCAAACTTCAAATAGCGAAGTTATGGGCCGGACCAATTTTGCTGCAAGGTCATGCTGTGACCTTGACCTTCAAGGAAGCGACCCAGATGTTGCACGCGACACATCGTCTCAATATGGTGATCATTTCTGTGAAATATTTTTAAAATACGACTTCAAATAAACAAAGTTATGGACCGGACACGATTTTGTTGCAAGGTCATGCTGTGACCTTGACCTTCAAAGTAGCAACCCAAATGTTGCACGCTACACGTCTCAATATGGTGATCATTTCTGTGAAAAAGTTTTAAAATCAGACTTCAAATAACAAAGTAATGGGCCGGACACGATTTTGGTGCAAGGTCATGCTGTGACCTTGACCTTCAAGGTAGCGACCCAAATGTTGCGCGCAACACATCGTCTCAATATGGTGATCATTTCAGTGAAATATTTTAAAAATCCGACTTCAAATAACAAAGTTATGGAACGGACACGATTTTGCTGCAAGGTCATGCTGTGAACTTGACCTTCAGGGTAGCGACCCAAACGTTGCGCGCGACACATCGTCTCAATATGGTGATCATTTCTGTGAAATATTTTTTAAATCGACTTCAAATAATGAAGTTATGGACTGGACACGATTTTGCTGCAAGGTCATGCTGTGACCTTGACCTTCAAGGAAGCCACCCAGATGTTGCGCGCTACACATCGTCTCAATATGGTGATCATTTCGGTGAAATATTTTTAAAATCGGACTTCAAATAATGAAGTTATGGACCGGACACGATTTTGCTGCAAGGTCATGCTGTGACCTTGACCTTCAAGGTAGCGACCCAAATGTTGCGCGCGACACGTCGTCTCAATATGGTGATCATTTCTGTGAAATAGTTTTAAAATCAGACTTCAAATAACAAAGTTATGGGCCGGACATGAATTCAGGACGTACGTACGTACGTACGGACGGACGGACTGACAACCCGACGACTATATGCTCCCCCGAAATTTTTCGGGGAGCATAATTACTTAATGAACTTGTCCAGCTTCTATTCTTGTAACTGTCTATTATCAGTCTCGGGATATCAAGAAGAAAATTTAAAGACAGAAAATCTTTGGAAACTCTTGACCATTTTTATTTTTGATAGTGTAAATGACATTGCATCATTAAGATTTAATATACACATTATTATATCATTTCATTCATTCCAGGAAATGTTTCTTCCAAATATTGCATTTTAATAAAATAAAATACAACTAGAAATATCAAAGTTAAATATATTATATAAATTAGAAATATATAAGTTAGTCATATTTTCAAATTTAGTCATATTTTCAAATTTAATTCTAATTTGAAATGATGGATAATTCTTAAAATACATTATGCAGAGTTATTGACTTTGTAATCTCAATTCCCAAAGCTAGATAGCAAACCCAAGAAAAACCTGAATAATGCACAAAATAGAAAATATTCAGCAAAGCCCATGCCAGAGCCATTAGTCCAGGTCTGTGAACTATTAATATAATCTCAATAACTTGTATAAAGTTTAAAGTCAGTGAAGTGAATACTGTCAGTGGGTGTTTATATAGATAATGCATGCAAAACCTTTCACAAATAAGTCAGTCATAATCTATGCTATCACTTTTATTTCCCCTCCAATGAGATCATTTTTATTTCCATATGAATGTCGGTGATATCACCTTAAAAGTTTTATAACATAATTTACATAAAATCTCACCTCAAGTGTGGCACCAGCTAGTTGTTGCAGTGTAGGCCATTTCTGAAATATTTACAACTATTTTATTATTCTTTTAATACTGGTATAAATGGAATTTAACTTATGACTGAAAATAAAAGAACTAAAAACCTTGAGTTTTATTATAATGAAAGATCTTTAATTTCAACTTTCAAAAAATATTTAATATTATAATAATATACATTTGTACTGTAAAGCAAAAAATACAGATGTCTATGTAGAATATAAAATTTAAGCAATAGATAGTCAAGTGCCTTACCTTCATCCATTTATTATAGTAATCAATCACCGTGGCAACCTGTGTCTGCTGCAACATAATCTCTGACACCCATACTGAAACAATACATTACCTAGTGGGTTTTAGAGCTAAAGAAATAGATTACATTTTCTTAGCTGAAATTACACTTTTTAACACCATTTCACTTCTTGTGAAATTGTGAATTAAAATTAACCACTGATGTGTTCAGATGTGAGAGTAGATTGACTGACAACATACTTTTAAATTTTAATTTAGTTAAACATGTTTAGTGAAACATATGTGAAAATCTCGCCTTTTCCCCAACAGTATTTCAGTCATATAGGCAGGTAGTTTCCTAACCATCGTTCCTGGAGAGTTACACCAGTACTAGACTTGTGACCTTCCTCCGTGCTAAACTACCATTAGATTAGAAGTCATCGGCTTTAACCCCTCGACCATGGGGGCGGTCATTTGAAATATTGATTGCATAATGCATAATATCCTAGTGAGGGAAAAGTGAAGGGTTTGCTTTTTTGTACTAGATCAATATTTTACCAGCATAAGCTCGTTCATTTAAATCTGATTTAGTCGCATTTCTCCGCCATGGCAAATCCCTCTTGTTTTTCTCATACCATGTCACAAGACTGGCCCGCACATCCTTAACGTCCTCGTCTGTGAAGTTATGAAATACTGGTACTGTACAGCCATTATTTTCTTTATGAAAACAAAAATAATGAACAGATATAAAGATAAAGTAATTTGTTTTTAATTTTAAAGAAAACTTGATCAACTATTTTGGATTCTTTTCTTTACTGGAATGCATGCATGTGAAATTTTTTCAATGATCCAGTGGGAGATTTTTCTTCAAAAAGAGGGACATTTTAGAATTTGGAAAAACAAAGAAGAAAGTTCTTACATCAAAAAGAGGGAGATTTCTTTAATTTGTGGAAAAAAACTTATTTTAAGAAAAAACAAGAACCGGTTGATGCTCCCCGAGAAGGTTCTGGACACAGGAAAGTATAAAAACAAGAGGGCCATGATGGCCCTAGATCGCTCACCTGACCCATCAAACTCATCCAAACAATTACCTAGACAAGCATTCTGACCACGTCTCATGACAGGTGAGTCAAAAATGTGACCACTACAGTGTTAACAAGGATTATCCATATTTGAGCAGTGTGACCTAGTTTTTTACCCAGGTGACCCATATTCAAACTTGACCTAGAAATCATCAAAACAAACTTTCAGACCAATTTCCAGGACACTTGGATCAAAACAGTAGCAACTAGAGTGTTAACAAGATTTTTCTATTTTTAGCTCCGGTGACCTAGTTTCACATGCGATTTCGAACTCATCCGAGCAATACCTCTTATAGTTTTACAGTTATGTCCTGGACAAAGTTCAAAGTGTAAAAATAAACAAAGGGGAATAATTCAAAAATTAGGCAAGGCAGAGTTACGGTACTTGTGCACTGAAAATCTACTCAATGAGATCTTTCTACTTACAAAGTTTCATGTTGATACCACTTATAGTTATGTCCTGGACAAAGTTCAAAGTGTAAAACAAGAATTTGTAACAGAGTTACCAACGTCCCCCGCCTCGGGGAAGTTTTATATGAAGCATAAAATTGTGCTATTTCAAAAGATTGAGGTATGGATGTCAGGACTTTCATTCCAAAATTATAATCAATGCTAGATCTACAAATGCAACAATGAATTTATTAAAGAAATACTAGTAAAATGAAACACGGAATGTAAAATTCTATCATGTTAACCTTTGACCTCTTAGTGTGACCTTGACCTTGGAGGTAGGGGTGCAGGTGTTGTGCATGACATATCATCTAATTAATATTACTATTTGTGCCAAGTATTTTCAAAATCCCTTGAACTATGTAGAAGTTATAGATCGGACACAAAATATACCCTATAACAGACTATGTCAATCTTTGACCTCTAAGTGTGACCTTGGAGGTAGGGACCCATGTTTTGCGTCTGACATATCATCTTATTATTGTGATTATTTGTGCAAAGTATTTTTAAAATCCCAGGTCATGGACTGGACACAAAATATACCCTATTACAGAGTATGTAAATGTTTGACCTCTACGTGTGACCTTGACCTTGGAGGTAGGGACACATGTGTTATGCATGACATATCATCTTATCATTGTGACTATTTGTGCCAAGTATTTTCAAAATCCCTTGATCTATAAAGAAGTTATAGACGGGAGTCAAAATAAACCATATAACAGACTCTGTTAACCTTTGACCTCTAAGTGTGACCTTGACCTTGGAGGTAGGGGTGCAGGTGTTGTACCTGACATATTGTCTTATTATTGTGACTATTTGTGCCTAGTTATTTCAAAATACTGAAGAAGTACAAAATATACCCTAAAACAGAATATGTTATATTTTGACCTCTAAGTGTGACCTTGAACTTGGGAGGTAGGGATGCAGATGTTGCGCATGACACATTGTCTTATTATAGTGACTGTGGCACGTATTTACAAAATCCTTTGATCTATAAAAAAGTAATGGACTGGACACAAAATATACCCTGTAATAGACTATGTTAATCTTTGACCTCCAAGTGTGACCTTGACCTTGGAGGTAGGTGACGGTTGTTGCACATGACACATCTTATTGTTGTGAACAATTGTAGCAAGTATTTACAAAATCCCTTCAAAGATAAGAAAGTTATGGACAGGACACAACATATACCATCAAATAGACAATGTTGACCTTGAATGAGCAAGTGTGACCTTGACCCTGGAGGTAGGGGTCTGGTTGTTGGGCATGACACATCAACTTATTATAACAAACATTTGTGCCAAGTTATTTCAGATTCCTTTGATAAATGAAAAAGTTATGGACCGGACACAAAATATACCCTGTAATAGACTATGTTAATCTTTGACCTCCAAGTGTGACCTTGACCTTGGAGGTAGGTGACGGGTTTTTGCACATGACACATCGTCTCATTATTGTGAACAATTGTGGCAAGTATTTACAAAATCCCTTCAAAGATAAGAAAGTTATGGACCGGACACAAAATAGACAATGTTGACCTTGAATGAGCAAGTGCGACCTTGACGCTGGAGGTAGGGGTCTGGTTGTTGGGCATGACACATTGACTTCTTATAACAAACATTTGTGCCAAGTTATTTCAGATTCCTTTGATAAATGAAAAATGGACCGGACACAAAATATACCCTGTAAGAGGGTATAGACTATGTTAACATTTGACCTCCAAGTGTGACCTTGACCTTGGAGGTAGGTGACGGGTTGTTGCACATGACACATCGTCTCATTATTGTGACCAATTGTGGCAAGTATTTACAAAATCCCTTCAAAGATAAGAAAGTTATGGACCGGACACGACATATACCATCAAATAGACAATGTTGACCTTGAATGAGCAATTGCGACCTTGACCTTGGAGTTAGGGGTCTGGTTGTTGGGCATGACATATTGACTTCTTATAACAAACATTTGTGCCAAGTTATTTCAGATTCCTTTGATAAATGACAAAGTTATGGACCGGACATGAAAGTGTGACGGACGGACAGACGGATGGATCCTATTACTATATCCCCCTTTTTTCTTCGAAAAGGCGGGGGACAATAAACAAAGGGGAATAATTCAAAAATTAGGCAAGGTAGAGTTACGGTTTTTGTGCCTGCACACCTACTCAATGGGATCAATCTACCTACAAAGTTTCATGTTGATACCTCTTATACATTTAGAGTTATGTCCCGGACAAAGGTCAAAGTGTAAAAATAAACAAAGGGGGATAATTCAAAAATTAGGCAAGGCAGAGTTACGGTTCTTGTTCACTGCACACCTACTTAATGAGATCTATTTACCTACAAAGTTTCATGTTGATACCTATTATAGTTTTAGAGTTATGTCCTGGACAAAGTTCAAAGTGTAAAATAAACAAAGGGGGATAATTCAAAAACAAGAGCTGTCACAGGAGACAGCCAAGCTCGACTAATAAGATACTGGACGCAGTAAGGAGGACAAAACTATGAAAGACAAGAACCGGTTGAACCGGGTGATGCTCCCCCGAGAAGTTTCTGGACACAGGAAAGTATTAAAAAAATGAACAAAGGGCAAAAACTCCAAAATTAGGCAAAGCGGAGTTACGTTTTTTTGCACTGCACTTCTATTCAATGAGATCTATCTATCTATAAAGTTTCCTGATGATATCAGAGTTATGTCCCGGGTAAAAGTCAAAGTGTAAAAATGAACAAAGGGCAATAACTCCAAAATTAGACCAGGCTTTGTTTAGGTTCTTTAAGCATTGCAGTTCTATCCAATTATATCTAGCTACCTACAAAGTTTCATGTTGATATCACTAATAGTTTTAAAGTAATGTCCAGGACAAAAGTCAAAAAGTAAAAATAAACAAAGGGCAATTTCTTCAAAATAAGGCAAGGCAGAGTAATGATTCTTAAGCACTGCACTTCCACCTAATGAGACCTATCTATCTACAAAGTTTCAGGTTGATATCTCTTATAATTTTAGAGTAATGTCCCAGACAAAGTTCAAAGTGTCAAAATGAACAAAGGGCAATAACTCCAAAAGTAGGCAAGACAGTGTTACAGTTCTTGTGCACTTCAAACTTACTCAATGAGATCTATCTAACTACAAAGTTTCATGTTGATATCTCTTATACATTAAGAGTTATGTCCCGGACAAAGTTCAAAGTGTAAAATAAACAAAGGGGGATAATTCAAAAATTAGACAAGGCAGAGTTACGGTTTTTGTGCACTGCACACCTACTCAATGAGATCTATCTAACTACAAAGTTTCATGTTGATACCTCTTATACTTTTAGAGTTATGTCCCGGACAAAGTTCAAAGTGTAAAATAAACAAAGGGGAATAATTCAAAAATTAGGCAAGGCAGAGTTACGGTTCTTGTGCACTGCACACCTACTCAATGAGATCTATCTACCTACAAAGTTTCATGTTGATACCTCTTATACTTTTAGAGTTATGTCCAGGACAAATTTCAAAGTGTAAAATAAACAAATGGGGATAATTCAAAAATTGGGCAAGGCAGAGTTACGGTTCTTGTGCACTGCACACCTACTCAATGAGATCTATCTACCTACAAAGTTTCATGTTGATACCTCTTATACTTTTAGAGTTGTGTCCCTGACAAAGTTCAAAGTGTAAAATAAACAAAGGGGAATAATTCAAAAATTAGGCAAGGCAGAGTTACGGTTCTTTTGCACTGCACACCTACTCAATGAGATCTATCTAACTACAAAGTTTCATGTTGATACCTCTTATACTTTTAGAGTTATGTCCCGGACAAATTTCAAAGTGTAAAATAAACAAAGGGTGGTAATTCAACAAGAGCTGTCACAGGAGACAGCGAAGCTCGACTAATAAAATACTGGACGCAGTAAGGAGGACAAAACTATGAAAGAAAAATCAATTATGTATAATTAAGTATTAAGTTATAGTAAAAAAAAACATTTGTTAACATAAATTCCAAGATCAAGGGGAATAATTATAGAAATAGTCATGCTAGAGTTATGGATCTTGCCACACAACATTTGTGTAATGATAAGAAATATATATTTGAAGTTTGAAGTAGATACCTTAAAAAGTAAAGAAGTTATTATATTTCTTAAAGAAAATCCTAAGTTCAAAGAGAGATAAATCTGTAAATATTGCTTCAAGAGTTATGAACATTGTC